CCTCTGTACCACAGATATCCATTAATTTCTGCAAATCTTCTTTGTTGTCGGCCATTAGCACTATATCATCTGCATACATCAGCCCCGGTAGTGATGTTTAATCCATGCACCTTGCTTGATGAAAGAAAGGTTGAAGCCAAACCCGCTCCGCTCTAGTTTGTTCTCCAATCCCTGTAAGTATAACATGAACAACAAAGGCGACAAAGGGCAGCCTTGCCTAAGCCCCCGCTCTATCTCTATAGGCTCCGATACATTTGTTTCCCATTTTATAAGCACCTTGTTGCTATTATATATATCTTTTAAAAGATTAGTTACTCCAGCTTCTACCCCTAATGTACCCAGTATGCCCCACAAATTCTCTTGAATTACACTGTCGTAGGCTCCTTTGATATCCAGAAACGCTAGCCATAGGGGCCTTTGTTCCTTTTCTGCTATTTCGATACACTGCGTTAAAGAGAACAGATTGTCCTCTAACCTCCTTTGCTTCCGGAACCCATTCTGCAGCTCCCCCAGCACCCCCTCGCTCTCCACCCATGCCTGCAGTCTATCCTTTATAATCTGCATCACCACCCTGTAAATCACTGACGTCACCGTTATAGGACGATAGTTGTTTATGTCCGCTTTGTCCCCCTTTCGTTTATATATCATGCTCATCCTGCTTAGTCTCCATTCATCAGGGGCTTTCCCATCCGTTACCATTTTATTCACTGCCTCTCTTAATGCTTGCTTAGATTTTGGGCCCAAGTTCTTGATTAACATAATGGGAATACCGCCAGGGCCTGTCGAGGTGCTACTAGGAACTCTTTTCTCTGCCCTTTCCCATTCTCTTTGTACGAACGAATCCATAGCACTTACCGGTCTGTTCTCCTGCGATAAAGCATGTGCCTCATACCTTCGGTCTTTAAATTTTTCCGCCATCATTGTTTCTATATGCTGCATTGCCTTATCCCCTTCCAGTCGAGTACCTTGAGCTGTAACTATAAACCTCTGTTCTAAACTTGTCTTATTACTCATGGAGTTCAGATGTTTCCAAAATTTCTTTGCTGCCTTTTTATCCTTTTTGTGCACTTTTGACAACCATTGGGACCCCCTTGTTCTCATTTTCTCACTGATTAAACAGGATTCTTCCCTTCTATAAATTATGAAATTATCCCATTTTCTGTCTACTTCGGCTTTTGGTTCCCCCCTTTGCTTGGAATGTCTGTGTACCCTGGATGCTTCCTGGCGTCTCTCTATGGCGTTGTTAACCTCCCCATCCCACCAGCTCTTGGGTTTAGCGCTTCCTTTTCCTTTTTCTCTAGGTCGGACCTTGGATAGCTCTAGCTCAAATAATCTCATTAAATTTGTGTAAGTCCATTCTGCTGTGGTATCGCCAGAAATTAATTCCTCAATTTGTTTGGTTGCTATCTCCGGTTGCTTCTCCGAGTAGAAGATCCTATCTGGTTGTTCATCTTGCTTCTTTCCTTTCCCGGTTTCTCTCGTAAAGCTCAGCTTGATACGTTTGTGATCACTACCCAGGCTTCTGACCCCAAGTTCATCTATGTTCATTACCTTTAGCCTATCATACATCCTATGCGACATTAGTGAATAATCTCTCGTCGAATGCAAACTCCCTACCTCCCAAGTTATGAGCCCTTCACACTTCTCGGTACTGTTGCATAAAACCAAGTCATGTCATTCACACATATCTAGCAGCATGTTACCTGTCGAATCCGTGTACCCGTCCATATCTTCAATGTGTGCATTCATGTCTCCTAGTATAATAATCTCACACCCCCTCCCTAGTTCATTAATGTCACTTGCTATACATTCTATAATTCTTTTGTTTTCCTCTTTGGCATCTGCTCCTGTCCACAAATACACAAAGCCAAGTAGTGTTTGCTCCCCCGCCACTTTTCCTTTTAACCATAAATGTTCCACACAATCCTGTTTGACCCTTTGCCAATCCGTACTTTTATGAATGAATGCCCCAATTCCACCTCCCTTTCTGTAGCCTGCTGTTCTATTGCAATATTCCCACGCATAGTCTGGGTTACAGGGTGGTTGCTCTGTGTCCCTAAGATGCGTCTCCACAAACCCATATACCATTAAATTCTCCTGTCTCAGCTGCTCTTCTGTTTCCTCCCATTTCAGCCTATTCCTGCCACCTTTCATGTTAATATACCCTATGTCTGAAAAAACTTTCCGCTGGCATTTATGTCTATTACTTCTACGGCCTCTACGCTTCTTTGCCATTGGTTCCTCCCCCGGTTCACCTTCGCCTACTCCGGAGCCCTCAGGGCCCTGGGTCCCCCTAAAAAAGCTGTTGCCTGGCAACCTATCCTACTGCCTACCCTCCTGCCCGTGGCACCACTGTAGTGGATGCCATCCTGTGGAAAAGGGTGGGAGCCATCCTCATACACGTCCCTGTTCACCTCCATTACGCCGTACCCAAGTCGTCGGCTCATACCCCTAATGACCCGGTTAGCTTCAACTACTCTCCTTTCCATCCCGCTAGACTGTCCCTGGACCTCTGGGATTGTGCATATGGTCACATGCACTTTCTCAGAGGCCTCCCTAAGCTTACGCAACCCCACCTCCAGCTGTCTCCATGGCCTGTTGCTCTTGGCCCCCTCGCGGTGCAAATCACCACTGATGATTCGGCAGAGTGGCAACCTGAACCAAGGCTTTCAATCTTCAGGTTGCCCACAATGCTTATCATTAGTTGCAAAGGGCAAGAGTCATGGCGGGTGTCAACAAGCAAAAAAATTGAAAGATGTTCACGCTTCTCTCGAATGCGAAATTAGAGCGTACCTCTCTAGGTATGTTGATTTTGCTACATATTGTGGCAGAATATTTAAGAGAGAAATATATATATATATATGCAGGGTCTGTCCCAAAAGTTCCCGGAATTGTTTTTTTTTATAAATCATCTATTCAATATCAGTTTACAATCTTTTCAGAACTTTCCAAAGTAATCTCCCCCTGCTTCGATGCACTGTTGCCAACGCTGAACCCAATCACTGAAGGCGCCCTGGAAGCCGTCGACAGGAACCTCCTTCAGTGAGGTCGTCGCAGCTGCTTTTACCGTCTCCAGCGTCTCTTGCCGAGTTCCTTTCAGGGTTCTTTTGATTCTTGGGAATAAAAAGAAGTCCGGTGGTGCCAGATCGGGGCTGTACGGTGGCTGGAGCAGCGATGGCACACACATTTTGGCCAGTAACTCGGAGACAATGAGCGCGGTGTGGCTTGACGCATTGTCATGGTGCAAGATCCAGTTGTCGCAAATTTCTTTTCGGACTCGTCGAACCCTGTTTCGCAACCGTTTGAGCCCTTCACAGTAAAACTCCTTGTTGACTGTTTGTCCCTGCGGCACGAATTCACTGTGAACCACACCTTTTCTGTCAAAAGACACAATGAGCATTGCCTTGATTCGCGATTTGCTCATCCTTGCTTTTTTCGGGCGAGGAGACTCCGTGGTGTGCCACTCGCTGCCCTGACGCTTTGATTCGGGATCGTACTCGAAAATCCACGTCTCATCCCCTGTGATTACTCTGTCCAAAAATTCTGGGTCTATTTCGAGGCGTTCGTGCAATTCCTGACACTTCAACAAACGCTCTTCCTTCATCTCATTCGTCAGGACCTTTGGCACCATTTTCGCACAGACTTTCCTCATTTGGAGATCCTCTGTTAAAGGAGCTGTGCAACGATATTCAATTGGAATGTTTTTCTCTCTACACGAGCTTACTGGCACACCTGGGACTCAAGGATACTCACACGCAACGCCATTGGCCAAGAAACTCCTTTGTTGCGGCGTAATTTCAAGGACAAAATCGATCATTTTCATTCAATCTCTCCTTTGCAAAATTTGATGACGTAACTCGGGGATCGCAGTACACCCAAGTGACGATATTTGAATGCGGCTCATAGATTGGACCCGAGCATTGCATGGGCACTTGACTTGGGCTCGTGTCAATTGCTAGCTCGAGAAGGATTCGGGTAGTGACCCGTGTCCAATCACTGCAACGACGACAACAGCCGAGTCATAACAATGTCTGGAACTCAGCGCGTGTCCTGCGCTTTGCCAACCCCAGCGCGTGGTTATGATCAACATTGGCGGCATATAATCGGCTCCAGATCACGTGGCCGCTTGTTCTGGCTGCGAGTTGAGGGGGTGAACGCTGCTCGTTTTTCTTTAATATTTTTCTGGGACTTCTATTGCGTGGGGTGAAAAACGAACGCGTGTTTGATAGGTCATTAACGTTGGGGATCCGTTTTAAGCGGTATTTGCGCAAAGTACAAACATTGTTGCATTGCTCCTTTAAAATGGGATGAACGATTGTTTTGGGTATTCCACACTCATCTGCGACCATTCGAACGCTTAATCGCCGGTCCTTGTCCAAAACGTGACGCACTTTTTGCACCGAGTCATCCGTTTGTGATGTCGACGGGCGTCCCGAGCGGTCGTCGTCGTTGACGGACTCCCGACCTTCCCGGAACCTCTTGTGCGACATGAAAGTTTGGCTTTTTTTCATCGCGTCGTTGCCGTAGGCTTTCCGAAGCATTTCGAGCGTCTCCGCCCCGTTTTTACCTAGTTGCACACAAAACTTGATTGCATAACGTTGCTCCAAAAACTGGTACATTTTTTTTCTCGACGAGGGTCCTGTAGATGCCTCTGCGCGGAGCGTGACCTGCCTCAGCAACTGATAGCAGACAACTGAGACCGGTCTCGTTTCGAAGCTTATATCCTCCACTAACTTCTCCACCTGAAGCCCCACCCCGCCAGGCGGCGTTGCCGACGACAAAAAATCATTCCGGGAAGTTTTGGGACAGACCCTGTATATATATATATACAGTGCAGTCCACTTATAACGATATTGAGAAAACCGCAAAATCCAATCGTTATAGCCGATTATCGTTATATCTGGACCGACAAAAAAAAAACACAAAGAGAAGTTACTTACGGGCGATGAGTGAATCAGGTCGTACAACGCGAGCCGAGGCAAAGAAAACCGAAGGCTTTATTAAAAGGTACGAAAATGACTATAAAATAATTTAAGCATGCTTAAAAAAGTCGGAAATTTAAGCATCTCATAAAAGAGTGCTGTTTCATCGCCGTTGAAAATGTCACTTTCTTGGAAGCGCTCCAACAGCTCGGGTAATTTCGTCGCCAGCCATTCGTCTTTCGCATTTACGTCCAGCGAGGCAGCCTCCCCGACGACGTTTTTATAAACGATGCCGTGGCGATCCTTGAACCGCTGAATCCATCCTCCGCCGGGTTCGAAGTTTTCCCGTCCCAGAAGGGAAGCAAATTTCTTCGCCTTTGCGGCAAGAATAGGTCCACTTATGGGCACGTTCCGGTTGCGAGTGGTCAAGAACCACTGGTACAGGGAGTCTTCAACGTCGCCGTACAAAGGATCCCTAACCCGCTTTCGCTGGTCGTCGTGACCGCTGGTGCCAGCCTTCTTCAAGACATCTCCAGCCTTGATGATTGTAGAAATCGTTGATTGAGACAGCTCGTATCTTTTTGCGAGGCTACCAACCTTGAATCCTTGTCGGAAATCCCGGTGAATTCGCTGCTTCACCTCCAGAGATATCGCTTTGCGCTTAGTCGGCGCCATTTTTACCTCACGAACGTACGAACGTGCGGAAACGGGGGAAAACTAGGAAGCGTTGCGCGGCGGCGGCCAAGCAAGCTCTTTCTCTCCTCCCTTCAGCGATTGCGATGACGATAGCACTTAGTTCCGAAGGATGAGGCTGAACTTTTTAAATCGGGCGGCTCCTCGCGTCACCTAGCGGATCTTTCCACGCCGACCGGTTTTTGATATTTTTACTAGTTTTCATGTCGTTCGCTTCAAGTATTTTAATTTTTCTCAAATTTCCAGGCAAATTTTTCGTGATAAGCACCTTCCGGGCGGCCAGAATTCTATCGTTGTATCCGATATGTCGCCGATAATTCTATCGTTATATATGGTTTATTTTTACATAGGGGCGATGGGAGAATTGACAAATCTAAAAAATTTGATTGCTATAAGCGATATATCGTTATATCTGGTATCGTTATAAGTGGATTACACTGTATATATATATATATATATATATATATATATATATATATAACGGGCATGGTGGCGGGAAAACAGCAGCAACGGACGACTTATTGTTCGACCTTTCGGCCGGAGTCCGGCCTTCGTCAGGAGGAACTTTTACAGATGAACGCGGGTGGTATTTCTACAATGCTACGGTCGAGTCCAAGTTTGAAAAACGGCGGAATGACTGTTAGAGTTTCCAAAGAAGCGCTTTGGAAACTCCAACCGTCATCCCGCCGTTTTTGAAACTTGGACTCGACCGTAGCATTGTATAAATACAACCAGCGTTCATCTGTAAAAGTTCTTCCTGACGAAGGCCGGACTCCGGCCGAAAGGTCGAACAATAAGTCGTCCGTTGTTGCCGTATTCAACAAGGGTTTTTTCTTCCCAGTTATATGCTTGATTATTTTTTGTTTAGTTTGAGGGCAGGCCAGGGTGGACGTTGAGGGTGCGGTGGGAGGAGCCCCAATATGTAATGCGTGCGGGTTTTGTTCCAACGTGAATCGTTCTGGGCCGGTTGCTCCGTACTTTGCGAAGCCGCGTCTCGTGAAGCAGTGGCCTGTGATATCATAAGACGTCACAGTTTCCCCCTAAATTTCGCCGGAAAATTGACGTCACGTGACCTCAACACAAATTCAATCTCCCCGCACAATTTAAAGGGGAAAATGACGTCAGATAACTTCGAGTCACGTCGCTTATGAACAAATTCAGGTATGCTTGGGAGAAGAGCGTGTTGGTTCAAGTCATGAATGAACAAAGAATAAAACAATTAAAACAGCGACAACACAACCACATCTTTCAAGATGCGGTTGTGTTGTCCCTGTTTTAATTGTTTTATTCTTTCTTCATCCATGACATAACAAAATCAGTTTCCCACTAGATTTGCGATATACCGTAACAAATAATTTGAGCAAGATATATATATATATATATATATACAACGGGCATGGTGGCGGGAGGCCGAAGGCGTGGGTATATAATTGAGAAGAAAAAACCCTTGGTGAAAACAGCAACAACGGACGACTTAATCTTCAACGTTTCGGCCGGAGTCCGGCCTTCGTCTTCCTGACGAAGGCCGGACTCCGGATGAAACGTCGAAGATTAAATCGTCTTTTGTTGCTGTTTTCACAAAGGGTTTTTTCTTCTCAGTTATATATATATGTGTATGTGTGTACAAATATAGGTCACTCTCTTCACATACTGGTTTTGCACTGTCCTCCTCTACCACGTCCTCTGCCTCTTTTCTACCTTACTCCTCCGTACCCACACCTTCTCCTCATCCGTACCCTCCCCTCCTCCTCCTTCATGTGCTCCCTTCCTGCGTCTCCATAGCCTCCCCTCCTCTCACGCTTTCCCCGCAAAATTTAGCTGGAAAATTCACGCCACGTGACGTCAACATCAATTTAAATCTCCGCTAAATTTAGCATGGAGAATAACGTCACAAGACATCGTGTCACGTCACATATGAACAAGTTCATTTTCTCCGCTAGTGTTAGCGGGAAAATTGACGTAACTTGACCTCAACACCAGTTCGAATCTCCTTTAAATTTACGGTGAAACTGAATTGGTGTGTAGGTCTGTGACGTTCCATAATACAACACTGTGCATTCAGTTTCGCCACTAAATTTAGCGGTAAAACTGTCGTCACATGTCCTTAATATCAGTTCAGTTTCATTGCTAATTTTAGCGGGGAAACTGTGGAATCGCATACTGCAACGCGCGAAAACGGGCGCCTAAGAACTGCGCTCTAAAACTGAGGGCACGCTTAAGCTTCGCCTTTAAAAGTGAAACGCGTCAACGTTATCGGGCCCCATACGCAAAACATTCTCATTCCAACCCGCTCCCATTCCCAAGCCGTGCAAGCCTGTGTGCGGCGTCAAGTCGGTAGCGTCACCTGTCACGTGACGTCATGACCCTATCGACCCGCTGATTTTAGCGGAACAATTCCTAATAAATTTTGCGAGAACATGTTTTTCTATATTTCGTGGTAAATATTTTTACTAAATTTGGCGGGAACGTTTTTTGATAAAAATAATGGAAACGTTTCTAGCCAAGTTAGCGGATCAATAAAGTCACGACGTCACAGCCACGTGTGACATCAAACGTGGCTCCGAGCGTTGCCTTATGGGATTGTTTGGTCCCGCCCACCCCGACGCCGACACCGACGGCGGATTTTCTGCTGGAAGAGCTCCTCAACGTTATCGCGTGAAAAGCACAGTGGAAGCTTGGAGTCGTCACATTATTAAACCAACACTGTCAAAGTCGACATTACTCTTATTTCATTAAATGAAAGTAAAATTATTTCAAAGAATGACGACCTAGGGAGTGCATCGTCCATCGTGTAACGCTTTCGTAGTGCACTTCACGGGAACGGGGCTTACGACACCCTTTTCCCGAGCGTAAGATTTGAGTCGTACCAACTAGGTTTTTATTACCCCAGAATCGGTAAGAAGTTAATAATTAATTAACCCCTCGAAAACGATTTAGGCATAACAGTGTTGTGTATAGAGCTTGATAGCCTGTTATCGACCACAGAGAAGAAGTGAAGCCTACCAAATTAGAGGAAGAGGGACTGTAGGTCAATCACATGGCTGTGCCCAGGCAGAGCTGTTTAAAAGCGTCTATATCCCCAGGACAATACCAACGCCATCCTAGAAATTTTTCTGAACAAGTATTTATCAGTTCATTACCACAGCTCAACAAATAGCTCACGTGGCCATAAAAACCCCGAAAGAACCTGCTATTATGTTTTGTTCTCAGTTTAGTAAAAACTTAGCAATGTTTACTTATATCAGAAACAGCTAATTTGTATATGCGATAATGATCTACCTTATATGCACTAATATTATGTATTAGTGGTAAACATGTATTTAAATTACCTTTTTGTGTTCAATGAAGGCGCATTTTTTTGCGACAGATTAAAATATTTTCACAAAAATATAAGCTTGAAAATTGAAAAAGAAAAGACCACAATATGGATACGAGCATGTATTGAAGTTTGTCTTGCAGAACCTTGGATATATTGTGTTGACACCAAACGGCAGTGCATTTGTACTACGAAACAATGTTAGGGTGTACTAGGATGGTGAGTTGTGCCATCCGGAGGCCGTGAGTGTGTTGCGATGTGCAAGCACACCGGTGAGGGCACTGTTGGCACAGCACGTTTAGAGTTCCTGTATGGCGAGGTACGCGATCAAAGGCGTCGCTGTGGTCGGCCTTCCACGATTGGCAAAACGCTGACCATGACGTCAGAAAAGGATTCTTCATCGACGGAGATAAGAAGATGAGAACTTTGATTTTGAATGTGTTAGCAGTGTTTCTTTGAGAGCGGTATGACTTCAAGCTTCCACCCTCCTCACTACAAACACCATCGAAATTGTTGTTCGCAAGGTAATGACGTCACGAGAGAGAGCCATAAGAGGGCGCCACCAAAACGTCTCGCCGCTAATAAGCTCCCTGCGGGAGCCAGAGTTCCGCGTTTGCCCCTGTAGCGCCGTCTTTCCTGCACGGCATGTTGATCCTGCTCCTCACGTGACTGAATTCGGCGAATGGCGGCGCCGCGCGTTCGAGGCGCGCGGCGTGCTCAAAAGCAGGGGAACGTACTCTCGGGGCACGTGCAACATCTACTTTCCTACACGGCATTTGATCCGGATCCTCACGTGATTGGATCTTGGCGAATAGCGGCGCGGCGGCACGTGGAAAACAGACGCGCAACTCGGACTCCCGAGGGAGCCTATAGGAAGTATTCACTGGCGGTCATAGCTGTGTGCGCGACTGCTGAGCGCGTGCTGATGACGATCTTCCTCAGTTCTTTTGAAACGTGCATTCCGCACCCTCAAGATTGCCGGTCTTAGCAGCCTATTGATGTGGGTTCATTCTGAGCATGCGCTCTAAACAGCACCCACAAATATGGCGCCCAGTGAATACTCCTTATACAGGAACTCTAAACGCGTTCATTTAACACACTGTCGAAAGCCTGGTGGTCACCAAGATGCTTTAATCGGCGTCAAAATGATGGCATTCCTCGCTTGTTTTGTCTGCTCGGCTGTGAGAAAGAATGTGTTCCATCCTTGCTCACATCCTTGTGAAAAAGCGTGAATTGAGAGAGGGGCTGGAGCTAATATCCAAAGCGCGATTGCCCGTTGGGAGCGGTCAGTTACTTATACAGACCCGATATATTTTTTCTCGTTTTGCTGTTGTAAAAAAATAATCGTCTACTTACCTTACATACCACCGTTAACAAAGTGAAGTTTGAATATGGTATGATATGCGATGTTTTCCTCTTCATTCTGGTTTCAAACCTTTTAATTATTTTTTGGCAGTTGCATATTTTGGAGACGTTTAAATACCTAGTTTTTTGTTCTGGTGTCAGTAAATCTATTTTGTGTAGCATAGATTATTGCAACCGAGCTTTTCTTGGCTGCTGCGTTTCCAGCCAAAGCTTATTGAAAAGAAAACGTTTGAATTGATGTAATCTAGTGAGCATGCATTACATAAAAATAAACAACACTACTGGCAGGATAAATGGAGCA